ATTTTAAGTTCCATCAGCTGATGAACAGCTTGGATGTGTTTGTACGTCAGTGGTGTTATGATGATGTCATCTGTTCTGTGGTGGATGAAGAAAGAAGAAGAAGTTTGTCATGTTTTTAGAAAATTTTATTTTTTATTTGGGTGGAATTGTTTCTTTTTCTTTGTCAACCATTTGATTCTCTGACTTATTGAATGTTTTTATGTCTGTGAATCAGTGGCGTTTTATTAAAGTGGTTTTTAAAAAGCTAAAGCTCCGCATCTCCCCGCAGCAGCACAACACAGACATGCAGCAGTGTTTTTCTTGGCTTGTGTGGACGTGAGTGGTGATGAACAAAAGACTAAACTACCAGTGCCTCGAGTTTACCGCTAATTAAACTAAAGACAAAAGGCAAATATAGACTTATACTTGCTAACGCATGACTCATGAGCTGAGCTAATGTGATAAGTTAGCTGAAGTTTAGCTAAGGCAATATTTCATGGCCTTACAGGCTAATGTACTGTCATTAATGGACACACTACAGGTGAATACAGTAATATTTGTGTCTAATATCTTCATCATAATATCCACATTGATATGCAAATTAGGCATTAACTAATTAAAATGCGCTAATTTGCACACATTTGACACTTCACTGCAGGTGAATGGGATAAACAAATAAGTAAAGCATGTCACACCACAGAGTATTTTCCCCTGAAATGTTCTGTTTAATTATGTAGATTAGCTTCTTTTGGTTAATTTAAAAGAAATCTATAAATGCAAACAGATGGAGAGTAGCAGGCTTAAAACCAACACCATCTAAAGGTGTATTCTTCAAGTTTTATTTCCATTAGAGTAAAAGAAGACATGGAAGCAAAATAGACGAAAGTCTCAAAATTGACCACTCCATGAATAAAGTGTCTTTCTTTGAACAGTAACTTCATAGTTTTGATGGTGGGTTCTTCATCTGATAACTATCCATTCTATGAGTTTGTTGTATGCTGATAGATATTGATACAGACAGCCCTCCCTCAAATGTGAAACTAAGGCCATGAGACCATCAGTAATTATTATCTTTACTCATTTGGCATCTTGCTTGTGAAACAATGAGTAAAGGTATTTAGATAGCATTTATTTTAATTATGCCTGCAGCCCAATGCCGCAGTATAGTATAAAGATTTTTATTGATTTTATAGTGTCATGTATTCCAATAACACCAAAAGAATTAAACGATTGTTAAACGAGTATTAAATAATTCCGTGAGTGTGAGGGAATTAAAATAAATTGGAAGTAAGTCAGAGTTGTGTTAATATATTTAATGTTTTGTTTAAAAAAAACAAAACAAGCAAACTGTCCGCTAAACACTTATTCTTAAAGTAATTTTGCCTAAGTACTCACAGTTCTTTCCATCCTTTAGTGACTGCTGTTTAATCTCATAGTTGTTTTCAAAAGTTTTAGTAGCTGACGCTACAGTACTTTAGCTTCGCCGTTAGCGACTTTAGCTTAGCAGCTAGCGATGGCTTCTCCTTCTCCCTCTCTCTCTCCTACTTTCTCCTGCTCGGTGTGTCAGATGTTCAGTTACTCCTCAGAGTCGCAGTCTAACACACTTCTCTGCTCCTCCATTTCAGGAGTTACTTAGTGAAAATCCTATAGTGACGGTGTCTGCCCCCCGACCATCGAAATTATTTAAAAAGGTAAACAGAAGAGGAGCTGTGCATAAAAACCTGAATCCACCCCTCCCAGTCATATTAATACTCACATTCCTCGAGGCACAGGCCGAGGAGGTGGAGTTGCAGCTATCTTCGACTCTAGCCTACTAATCAGCTCTAAACCTAAACCAAACTATAACTCATTTGAAAGTCTTGTTCTTAGTCTTTCGCACCCAAGTTGGAAATCACTGCAACCAATTATTTATAGTGTAGTTTATAGTGTACCGAGCACCTGGTCTGAATTCTGAATTCTTATCTGAATTTGCAGAGTTTTTGTCCACTTCAGTCCTTAAAACGGACAAAGTTATTATTGTAGGGGATTTTAATATTCATGTGGACGTTGATAATGACATTAATAGAGGAAAATAGGAACAACCCCAGGTTTCTTTTCAGCACTGTAGCCAGGCTGACAGAGAGTCACAGCTCTATTGAGCCAAGTATTCCCATAGCTCTCAGTAGTTACGATTTCATGAGCTTCTTTAATGATAAAATTCTAGCTATTAGAGACAAAATTCACCAAGACCTGCCCTCAACTGGCACCAACTTATCTCTAAACTCAGGAACCTTAGAAACAGCTGTAGAACCAGATATATGTTTAGACTGTTTTGCTTCCCTCAATCTTTACCAACTAACTTAAATAATTTCTTCATCTAAACCATCAACCTGCCTCTTAGACCCCATCCCAACTAGGCTGCTTAAAGATGTTTAACCCTTAGTCAGCACTTCTATACTAGATACGATCAATCTATCTTTATTAACAGGCTATGTACCACAGTACTTTAAAGTAGCTGTAATTAAACCTCTCCTGAAAAAGCCCAAACTTGATCCGGATGTTTTAGCCAACTATAGACCTATATCTAACCTTCCATTTCTCTCTAAGGTTCTGGAGAAAGCAGTTGCTAAACAGCTGTGTGACTTTCTACAGAGCAATAGTTTATTTGAGGATTTTCAGTCAGGATTTAGAGCTCATCATAGCACAGAGACAGCACTGGTGAAAATTACTAACGACCTCCTTATTGCATCAGACAAAGGACTTGTCTCTGTACTGGTTTTATTAGATCTTAGTGCTGCATTTGATACCATTGACCATCAGATCCTATTGCAGAGACTGGAACATTTCATTGGCATTAAAGGATTAAAGGAACCGCTCTAAGCTCGTTTAAGTCCTATTTATCAGATCGATTTCTGTTTGTACATGTTAACGATGAGTCCTCCATGCACGCCAAAGTTAGTCATGGAGTTCCACAAGGATCTGTCCTCGGACCAATCCTCTTCACTTTATATATGCTTCCCTTAGGCAATATTATCAGGAAACACTCCATAAACTTTCATTGTTATGCAGATGATACTCAGTTATATCTATCGATCAAGCCAGATGAAACTAATCAGTTAGCTAAACTTCAAATGTGCCTTCAGGATGTTAAAACCTGGATGACCTGTAATTTTCTCATGTTAAACTCAGATAAAACTGAAGTTATTGCTCTGGGGCCTAAGCACCTCCGTGACGCATTATCTAAAGATATAGTTTCCCTTGATGGCATCGCCCTGGCCTCCAGCACCACTGTGAGGAATCTTGGAGTTATCTTTGATCAGGACATGTCGTTTAAGTCTCACATTAAGCAAATTTCAATGATCGCCTTTTTTCACCTACGTAATATTGCGAAAATCAGGAACATCCTGTCTAAAAATGATGCAGAAAAACTAGTCCATGCATTTTTTACTTCTAGGCTGGATTACTGCAATTCCTTATTATCAGGTTGCTCAAAAAAGTCCGTTAAGACTCTTCAGAATGCTGCAGCACGTGTTCTGACAGGAACCAGGAAAAGAGATCATATTTCTCCTGTCTTAGCTTCTTTGCATTGGCTTCCAGTAAAATCCAGAATAGAATTTAAAATCATTCTTCTTACCTACAAAGCTCTTAATGGTCAGGCACCATCTTATCTTAAAGAGCTCATAGTACCTTACTACCCCACCAGAGCACTGCGCTCCCAGAATGCAGGGTTACTTGTGGTTCCTAGAGTCTCCAAAAGTAGACTAGGAGCCAGAGCGTTCAGCTATCAAGCTCCTCTCCTGTGGAACCAGGTTCCAGTTTGTGTTCAGGAGGCAGACACCATCTCCACATTTAAGAGTAGGCTTAAGACTTTCCTCTTTGATAAAGCTTATAGTTAGGGCTGGCTCAGGTGAGTCCTGAACCATCCCTTAGTTATGCTGCTATAGGCCTAGACTGCCGGGGGATTTCCCATGATGCACTGAGCTCCTCTCTCCTCTACTTTCTCTCCCTCTGTATGCAACCTCATCCCATTATTGCATGTTACTAACACAACTTCTTCCCTTTCCGGTAGTCTTGTGCTTTCTCGTCCCTCTCCTCTCTCCTCCTATCACTTCCTGCAGGTGTTCCTGCAGGTAGTGATCTTTTTTGCAAAATGAAATAAATAAAAATATTTTAATTAACTCCTACGAAGCTGCAATTCCATTGGCAACAAACTTGGCATGGACCATCTCTGGACGAAGAGTTTGTAGAGGAAATTTTGATGGACAACAAAATGTAGTAAGCTAACAAATGTTTGCTAAAAACACTAAAAACAGGAAGTGATGTTGTATCTTAGTTTTGGAATGGCTGATCGATCGATCTATCTGATTAATTTTATTGATTGTCAACCAAATGAGGGCCATTATTCTGGACCCAAAACATAATATCTAAAGCTAAACCTGATGAAATTATTATTATTGCATTATTATATTACAGTGACCACTCCTGGTGCACAAATCACTTTTGCTCTACATTTCACAAAGATATGTGGAGTAAAAAATCAGAGAAGGAGAAACTTTTCTTCATTTGTGAGCAAAAAGCAGCATTTTGGTCTCGTAGCTGCAGATTCGAGCAGCTGTAGTTGTTGACTTGTTTGTGCAGCGCTCATTGCATGAATCCACATACTGATTTCCATCCTGATGAAGTGAAGCAGAGCGAACATACTTCACTGAATGCTGAGCTTTTCCTTTAACTCTACTGTATTTGAACCAGTCTGCTGGCTGCTGCTCTGTGTATTCACATGTTCATCTCGCCTACAGAAAACTGGTAAAATGACTCCAGAGGGAGTTCACTGAGATGTTTCTGAGCTGATGGAAAGTTCTTTACAAAACAACCTGAGTGTTTTTTCTGTCCAATCACAGGACTCCAGGCTGAAGGACAACACACCTCAACAGGTAAAGACAGAAAGAAAAGAGAAAGAATCACAGAAGCAGAATCAGCAGTAAAGTTTTAGTTTAGTCACTTGAATTCACTTCTTTACTGATGACTCTCTTGTTTCTGTTCAGAGGCTGATGATGTCAGGTTGGTGGGAGGAGCCAGTCGCTGTGCAGGAACACTGGAGGTGAAACAGGGAGACTGGAGACCAGTGAGATACTCTGACTGGACCCTGAAGGCGGCAGCTGTTGTCTGTAGAGATCTGGGCTGTGGCTCTGCTGTTTCTGTAAGAGAGAGAAAGGAGTCCTCAGACAGACCTGTGTGGGAGATCGGGTCTGACTGTGTTCAGTCTGGATCTGCTCTGAGGGAGTGTGTAACATCATCTTCCTCTCCCTCCATCCTGGATCTCACCTGCTCAGGTAAGCCCTTCAGACATCATCTATGACAGTAATGTACCCAGGTTGACATACAGACACCAGCTAGAATAGCAGCAGACTGTCTCTGGCAGCCATGACGGAGTCTGATGGGTTGCTGCCTCAGTAAATCAGCTGCTGAATACACCAAGAGATAGATAGATAGATATATATTAGCGCTGGCCTGAATGTCATTTTTTGAGCTTTGATGGTTTGATAGTAATTAACAGAAAATAATTATTATTATTTATAGAGCACTTTTCAAAAACAAGTTACAAAGTGCTTTAACAAGTGTAAAGACAATAATACAAAAACAATACAAGATAAAAGCAAGAAAACATTGAAAAGACTAAAATACAGATAAATATAAAATTAGTAAAATAGAATAAAATAAAAGGGATAAAATAAAGTAAAATAAGATCGGGAAAGGCCCTCCTATAAAAGTATGTTTTAAGAAGGGACTTAAAAGAGTTCACTGACTCAGCCGACCTGATTTCCTCGGGCAGGCTGTTCCAGAGCCTTGGGGCCCTGACAGCAAACGCTCTGTCCCCTTTAGTTTTCAGTCGAGACTCTGGAACAGACAACAGACCTCTGCCCGAGGATCTCAAGGTACGTGCTGGTGCGTATGGGACTAAAAGGTCAGAAATATAACAAGGCGAGAGGCCATGAAGAGCTTTAAAAGTGATCAATAGAATTTTAAAGTCAATTCTAAAACATACTGGGAGCCAGTGTAATGAAGCTAAAATAGGAGTAATGTGGTCATATTTCTTTGTTCTGGTTAAAAGCCTGGCAGCTGAGTTCTGGACAGTCTGGAGTCGATCAATAGATTTTTGGGTTAAACAGGTGAAAAGGCTGTTGCAATAATCCAGGCGTGATGAGATGAAGGCGTGTAAAATGGTCTCGGTGTCCTTAAAAGTTAACATAGATCGAATTTTTGCTATATTTCTAAGTTGATAAAAACATGATTGAACAAGCTTTGTGGTGTGCTGCTCGAAATTTAAATTACTATGAAACCAGACAACTAGGTTCTTTGCCACAGGCTTAATGTGATTTTAACTTTATTTTATCTCTTTTATTTTATTGTATTTTACTAATTTTATATTAATCTTAAACGTGTATTTTAGTCTTTTAAATGTTTTCATGCTTTTATCTTGTATTGTTTTTGTATTATTGTCTTTACACTTGTTAAAGCACTTTGTAACTTGTTTTTGAAAAGTGCTCTACAAATAAAGATTATTATTATTATTATTATTTACTAGGGAACCAGCAGGTTGCAGTTATTGTTTTGCCATCTGCTGGGACCCGATGACCAGGTTTTTTGTTTTGTCTGAGTTCAGCTGGAGGAAATTATTTGACATCCTTTTTTTAACTTCACAAAGGCAGTTGTTAAGTGAACTCAGCATTCCAGGGTCTGTGGATCTGACGGGCAAGTATATTTGTGTGTCATCAGCATAAATATGAAAAGAAATGCCATGTTTATGGATAATATGTCCAAGGGGAAGCAGATACAAGGAAAACAAAATGGGTCCTAAGACCGACCCCTGAGGCACACCATATTTAACTGGACAGAATGAAGAGACATAGTTGTTTACAGACACGCAAAACTTCCTATTTGACAGGTAGGATGAAAACCATTCTAGGGCAGTACCAGAGATCCCCACCTAGTGCCTCAGTCTGTCTAACATGATGTTGTGATCAATGGTGTCAAAAGCAGCGCTAAGGTCCAGGAGTACAAGGACTGAGCACATGCCTTCATCAGCAGACATTAAAAGGTCATTGGTGACTTTAAGCAGGGCAGTCTCAGTGCTGTGGTACTTCCTAAAACCAGACTGAAACTTTTCAAATATTTTGTTGTTTTCCAGTAGAGTGAGCAGCTGTTTGGACACAATTCTTTCTAGAATCTTTGCAATAACAGGCAGTTTTGAAATTGGTCTAAAATTATGTGGGAGGGAGGGATCTAAACCAGGTTTCTTTAAAAGTGGGTTCACGCAAGCCGACTCTGGCTCTGATTGACACCACCTTATTGGTAAAATAAGATAAAAACAATTCACAGTCATCATTACTTCCAGCTGAGACACAAGGAGGGGTTGGGTTTACCAGCTGATCCACAGTCTTAAACAGAAACCTGGGATTGTGTTTATGTGTAGTAATGAGTTCAGAAAAATAGTGTGTTCTCGCATCCTTAACCATGTTATTGTAGTTAATTAATAAATCCTTCAGACTGAGGTAATGGACTTGGAGACTGGATTTTTTCCATCTACGCTCTGCTTACCTGCATTCCCTTTTGAGGCTGCAAATGCTGTCATTTATCCAGGGTTGCTTACTAGCTTTAGACGTAGGCCTAACCTTTAGAGGAGCAGTAATATTTAGTGACGACAAGCAGATATGATTGAAGTGATCGACCAGATTGTTGGTGTTGAAATCAGGCAGGTGTTGGCTTTGGCTCTGAAAGAATGCGCAAAACTTTGAAACACTTTGTTCATTAAAGATGCGACAACACACGGAGCTTGGTGAGGCAGCATGAGTAACAGACGAAGGAGTTAAATTCATCACAGCGTACTTGATGACATTTTAAATTTTTCCTATACACGCTCACTAGCCCACCACCACGACCACTGACCCTCGGTTGACTAAAACAATCATATTGAGGCGGACACAGTTCAGCTAGCTGGCTATAGTCATTCATTTGCAACCAGGATTCAGTTAAAAACATAAAATCTAGATTTGCAGACAAGATAAAATCATTTAAGATAAAAGTCTCACTTGAAAGTGATCTCACATTGAAGAGAGCCATTATAGATAGCCAAAATAGATCCGTGCCGAACCAAGTTGGTGGCTGCTGTACAGAGCAGGGGAACCGTAGCTGAGAGTCCAGAGTGAAAGAGTCTGATCTGAGCAGGTCCAGAACAGAATCCGGGAATAGTTTAGCTGGGAGGGGGTCCAGGTGGAGAGCAGACGGGAAGAGCAGTATTTCCAGTAGCGGAACTAAATCTAAAACATTATTATGCCAAATTCACTTTTAACTTTTATTATAGCGACTAAATGCTCTTCTTCTACAATCGGCCTCATATAATTATTTAAATGTGTGCATTATGTTGTTGTTTGTTTGTTTCCAGCGTACAGTTTACAGATTAATTTGAAATAGTAGGAAATTTGACTGTTTTGACTGACTTCTGGCGCTGGCACGAGCAGGACGCTGATCCAGTAGCTCCGTATGTGTCGTGTTGTTTTTAATACTTTAAGTGTGTTTTTTTTAACTGTTACTCTTGTATAAAGAACTCAATGGGGCTGTGGAAAACAAGTCAGGAAGCCAACTCAACACTAATTGCACAAGTCATCATCAAGTGCGGCATATACCAAGGCGATGCACTATCCCCGTTGCTGTTCTGCAAAGGCCTGAACCCCCCTCAGCCAGATCATCACAAAGACTGGCTACGGATACCGGGTCCAAAGTGGAACAACCATCAGTCACCTCCTCTACATGGATGGCATCAAGCTGTATGCCAGAAATGAGCAAGGCATCGACTCACTGATCCACACTAACAGGATCTACAGCATTGACATTGGAATGTTTGCAGTCAGATGTTATAAGTTATATGATGACATATTTATTGTTGTGGTAGTGCGCTATCATGCTAAGAATCTGTTCTTATAGAGCTGAACTGTTAGGGAACACTTTGGTATGTGGTTTATGGTTTATTGCTGAGACTGAGAAGAATAGACACTTGTCAAGGCAGCACAAAAAAGGAATTAATCTTTATTGTCATTCAACAACATTCAGCAACGTCACATCGTCTGAAGGACAGTTAGCATCACAGCAGCGTGTCAGCCAGCTCATTCCCGGGTTCAGTCCCTTCAGGAGATAAATAGTATCAGACTGAGCTTCTAGAACAGTATGAGCTCCTGGTTTCTGCTCGCATGGTCTGAGTCCTCCTGTTCATTGTTACCCAGCTCTGAGGAAACATCTCTCTCATTATCAATTTCAATGTCTTTCCTGCATCTGGCACGTGTGCTAGAACGCAAAGCGTCGTCCCCTCGTTAAAGTATGACCATAAAGTTTGGAATTTGCGACACAAGGAAATGAAGTGGACTGGTGGAGCTGGACTCTGTCGGTGGTGTCAGAGAGGAGGATGCTGTCCAAGCTACATGTTATACTGGACAATGTCTCCAGCCACCTCATGTAGTGATGGTCAAACACAGGAGCACTTTCAGTGCAAGACTCAACGTGCACCACAGAGCGCCACAGGAAGTCCTTCAAACTCTTTGACTCCTCCCTCAGAGAGTCCCACGCTCTGTTAGTCAGTAACAGAGCTTGTAGTGAAATATTTCAGAAACTGATGTGCAGTATTCTCTACTCTCTGTCCAAGGTTAAGGATTTTAATACATTCAACACTATCTGTATTAATTATTGTTATTTATTATTATTTATCAGTAAACTTCTCTCATACAGCCTGAAACACTTTACATTTTCCACACTCTGATTTATATTCTAATATTTATTTTAAATTGTTTATTCCTTTATCTGCTATTGACCAACTTTCTCTTATTATTTCTCTTCCTTTATACTTTGATGTGCAATGTGAGGAACTGGGACTGAACAATTTCCCCTCGGGGATCAATAAAGTATTTCTGATTCTGATGAAATGATAGAACATCATTTTAAACCAGAGATGTTTTTCTATCATCAGATGATGTTAATCATCATATCGCACAGCCCCATGTGACAGAGTATTAAATGGAAATGTGCTGGAGAACTTGGTGCCGTCTGTGCTGGTAGAAAGATGTGTTCTGTTGTTAATGATGAACTGATGTTGGAGTTGTGCTTAGTCCACCTTGAATCACTGAATTGTTGTTTCATGACATGTTTTTCTTTTGTGTCTGCTGTCTTTATTTCTATTTCATCTTCTATTATCTCTCCAGACTCTGTCAGGCTGCTGGACGGGACTAGTCTGTGCTCAGGCAGACTGGAGGTGAAGTCTAACCAGTCTAACCAGTCTAACCAGTCTAACCAGTCTAACCAGAGGTGGTCCTCAGTGTGTGAAGCTGACTTTGACCAGCAGGATGCAGAGGTGGTCTGTAGGGAGCTCGGCTGTGGGGCTCCTTCAGTCCTCCAGGGGGCGCTCTATGGAGAAGTGGAGGCTCCGATGTGGACCAAAGAGTTCCAGTGTGGAGGCCATGAGTCTGCTCTCCTGGACTGTAGAAGCTCAGGCTCAGCTAGAAACACCTGCTCACCTGGAAAAGCTGTTGGACTCACCTGCTCAGGTAGAAGAGGAGCTGCAGCTTTGATTTGGTTCATTTCTCTTCTGATGAAACTCACTTTATTGTTTTACTGATGACTCTCTGGTTTCTGTTCAGAGCCTGTCAGGTTGGTGGGAGGAGCCAGTCGCTGTGCAGGAACACTGGAGCTGAAACATCAGGGAGACTGGAGACCAGGGAGATACCCTGTCTGGACCCTGAAGACAGCAGCTGTTGCCTGTAGAGATCTGGACTGTGGCTCTGCTGTTTCTGTAGAAGAGAGAAAGGAGTCCTCATTCAGACCTGCGTGGTGGATCAGGTCTGACTGTGTTCAGTCTGGATCGGCTATGAGGGAGTGTGTAACATCACGTTCCTATTCCTCTTCCTCCATCCTGGATCTCACCTGTTTAGGTAAGCCCATCAGTGACATCCTCGATGACAGTAATGTCTTTGTTTAATTTAACCTTTATTTCAACAGGGAAGTCTCCTGTATTTAATACATTTTTAAAACCTTTGTGTTGTCAAATTTGACCCGTTTTCAAATTCTTTTGTATGAAAAATATGGTTTTCTTTCATGAAATTAAACCAAAATAACATGGATGCTTCAACACTACACCCTAAATAAACAATAAATTAATTGCAAAAAGTCAATTAATCCCCCCCCCACCCCACACACACACACACACACACACACACACACACACCTGTGTGCTGTGATGGAACTGCACATTTTGGAGTAGCCTTTTATTGTGGCCAGCCTGGCACACCTGTGCAATACCCATGCTGTCTGATCAGCATCTTGATATGCCACACCTGTGAGGTGGATGTATTATCTCTGCAAAGGAGAAGTGCTCCCTAACACAGAATGTTGACATATTTGTGAACAACATTTGAGAGAAATAGGCCTTTTGTGTACATAGAGAAAGTATTATATCTTTGAGTTCAGCTCACAATGAATGGGGACAAAAACAAAAGTGTTTCTTCAGTGTAAGTACGTCTCTGTACACGTACTCCTACCACTCCTTTGATATGCCTTTCACAACAACAAAACAAAAGTTGATAAATCTGAGCTTTTGAAGCTTTTCAGTCCGAGACAACATGATAAAGAGGCCTCCCTATCATGCTCTACCATACTATACTGTGTCAGAGGCTCTAGATATAATTTGAAACCTTGTTGAGGAGGAGAGAGACCAGGAGGAATCTGCAGAAAAGGATTTATGAGAAGAAGAGCACAAATGTAAAGAAGCTGAGGAATATGCTTCAACAGATAAGATGTTTTCTTTGAGAGCAAATTGAAAAGATTGTGCTGGACATGACAAACAACCGGGGCATTATGTGTACAGCAAAGATCGATCAAATACCTCAGCAGGCATACAGGTGCTGGTCATATAATTAGAATATCATCAAAAAGTTGATTTATTTCAATAATTCCATTCAAAAAGTGAAACTTGTATAATGTTTACATTCATTCCACACAGACTGATATATTTCAAGTGTTCATTCCTTTTAATTTTGATGATTATAACTGACAACTAATGAAAACCCCAAAATCAGTATCTCAGAAAATTTGAATATTGTGAAAAGGTTCAATATTGAAGACACCTGGTGCCACACTCTAATCAGCTAATTAACTCAAAACACCTGCAAAGGCCTTTAAATGGTCTCTCAGTCTAGTTCTACACAATCATGGGGAAGACCGCTGACTTGACAGCTGTCCAAAAGACGACCATTGACACCTTGCACAAGGAGGGCAAGACACAAAAGGTCATCGCTAAAGAGGCTGGCTGTTCACAGAGCTCTGTGTCCAAGCACATTAATAGAGAGGCGAAGGGAAGGCAAAGATGTGGTAGAAAAAAGTGTACCAGCAATAGGGATAACCGCTCCATGGAGAGGATTGTGAAACAAACCCCATTCAAAAATGAGATTCACAAAGAGTGGACTGCAGCTGGAATCAGAGCTTCAAGAACCACCACGACGTATGCAAGACATGGGTTTCAGCTGTCGCATTACACAAGACACAGCGTCAGAAGCGTCTCGCCTGGGCTAAAGACAAAAAGGACTGGACTGCTGCTGAGTGGTCCAAAGTTATGTTCTCTGATGAAAGTAAATTTTGCATTTCCTTTGGAAATCAAGGTCCCAGAGTCTGGAGGAAGAGAGGAGAGGCACAGAATCCACGTTGCTTGAAGTCCAGTGTAAAGTTTCCACAGTCAGTGATGGTTTGGGTGCCATGTCATCTGCTGGTGTTGGTCCACTGTGTTTTCTGAGGTCCAAGGTCAACGCAGCCGTCTACCAGGAAGTTTTAGAGCACTTCATGCTTCCTGCTGCTGACCAACTTTATGGAGATGCAGATTTAATTTTCCAACAGGACTTGGCACCTGCACACAGTGCCAAAGCTACCAGGACCTGGTTTAAGGACCATGGTATCCCTGTTCTTAATTGGCCAGCAAACTGGCCTGACCTTAACCCTATAGAAAATCTATGGGCTATTGTGAAGAGGAAGATGCGATACGCCAGATCCAACAATGCAGAAGAGCTGAAGGCCACTATCAGAGCAACCTGGGCTCCCATAACACCTGAGCAGTGCCACAGACTGATGGACTCCATGCCACGCCACATTGCTGCAGTAATTCAGGCAAAAGGAGCCCCAACTAAGTATTGAGTTCTGTACATGCTCATACTTTTCATGTTCATACTTTTCAGTTGGCCAAAATTTCTAAAAATCCTTTTTTTGTATTGGTCTGAAGTAATATTCTAATTTTCGGAGATACTGACTTTGGGATTTTCATTAGTTGTTAGTTTTAATCATCACAATTAAATTAAATAAACATTTGAAATAAATCAGTCTGTGTGGAATGAATGATATCCAAGTTTCACTTTTTGAATGGAATTACTGAAATCAACTTTTTGATGATATTCTAATTATATGACCAGCACCTGTAGTGATAGTCAAACACAGGAGCACTTTCAGTGCAAGACTCAACGTGCACCACAGAGCGCCACAGGAAGTCCTTCAAACTCTTTGACTCCTCCCTCAGAGAGTCCCACGCTCTGTTAGTCAGTAACAGAGCTTGTAGTGAAATATTTCAGAAACTGATGTGCAGTATTCTCTACTCTCTGTCCAAGGTTAAGGATTTTAATACATTCAACACTATCTGTATTAATTATTGTTATTATTATTTATCAGTAAACTTCTCTCATACAGCCTGAAACACTTTACATTTTCCACACTCTGATTTATATTCTAATATTTATTTTAAATTGTTTATTCCTTTATCTGCTATTGACCAACTTTCTCTTATTATTTCTCTTCCTTTATACTTTGATGTCCAATGTGAGGAACTGGGACTGAAGAATTTCCCCTCGGGGATCAATAAAGTATTTCTGATTCTGATGAAATGATAGAACATCATTTTAAACCAGAGATGTTTTTCTATCATCAGATGATGTTAATCATCATATCGCACAGCCCATGTGACAGAGTATTAAATGGAAATGTGCTGGTGAACTTGCTGCAGTCTGTGCTGGTAGAAAGATGTGTTCTGTTGTTAATGATGAACTGATGTTGGAGTTGTGCTTAGTCCACCTTGAATCACTGAATTGTTATTTCATGTCTGCTGTCTTTATCTCTATTTCATCTTCTATTATCTCTCCAGACTCTGTCAGGCTGCTGGACGGGACTAGTCTGTGCTCAGGCAGACTGGAGGTGAAGTCTAACCAGAGGTGGTCCTCAGTGTGTGAAGCTGACTTTGACCAGCAGGATGCAGAGGTGGTCTGTAGGGAGCTTGGCTGTGGGGCTCCTTCAGTCCTCCAGGGGGCGCTCTATGGAGAAGTGGAGGCTCCGATGTGGACCAAAGAGTTCCAGTGTGGAGGCCATGAGTCTGCTCTCCTGGACTGTAGAAGCTCAGGCTCAGCTAGAAACACCTGCTCACCTGGAAAAGCTGTTGGACTCACCTGCTCAGGTAGAAGAGGAGCTGCAGCTTTGATTTGGTTCACTTCTCTTCTGATGAAACTCAATTTATTGTTTTACTGATGACTCTCTGGTTTCTGTTCAGAGCCTGATCATTTCAGGTTGGTGGGAGGAGCCAGTCGCTGTGCAGGAACACTGGAGCTGAAACATCAGGGAGACTGGAGACCAGTGAGATACTCTGACTGGACCCTGAAGGAAGCAGCTGGTGTCTGTAGAGATCTGGGCTGTGGGTCTGCTGTTTCTGTAGGACAGAGAGAGGAGTCCTCAGTCAGACCTGTGTGGTGGATCAGGTCTGACTGTGTTCAGTCTGGATCTGCTCTGAGGGAGTGTGTAACATCAACTTCCTCTGCCTTCATCCTGGATCTCACCTGCTCAGGTAAGCCTATCAATGACATCTTCTATGACATCATGTATGACAGTAATGTCTCCAGCGTGACATTGCATGTTACATTTTATACACACTGGAATGTGTACGGAGAAGAAAGATTCTCACAGTATAAAGCACACTGGTAAATCATTCTTTTGGCCAGATGGTGACATTAGGACATTTCATGACAGCGTAGTCTGCCGAAGCCTCCCTTATCTGCTAGTTCAGTTGGGTGATTTGCAGGCTGATCGACCCCCCCCCCCCCCGTGATCCATGGTTTGACTGGATGTGTATTCAGGGCCAGTGAGAAACAGACTTTCACAATAATAATAATAAAAGCTGCGTTAACGTGATAAAATAATTGTTGGCGTTAATTAATTAATGCATTAACGTGCCCAGCCCTAGAATTTAATCATTATAATTTAATTATAAGACTGTTTACCCCCAGGTTTCTAAACATCAGAAAAGGATAGTCCTCGCTGTACTTATAGCTGCAAAAAAAAATGGTGGCTGTGCGCTGGAAGCCTCCACACACTCTGACCATTAAGCAGTGGCATCCGACCTTCAACAGCCCGCATCAATGGAGCTAGACAGATAAATGTGGATATGTGGCTTCTAGCAGCAGAGACAGTAAAAGACAGACTGGGGTTACAGTTACCAGCCCATGGGGTCCTGGGGAGCGTAGGGTGACATGGGTTTACATATGTGGGTGTATTGGCATGTGATTCAGATCTGTGTGTGTCTGTAGGTTTTTATATCTATATAATGTGCGTGTGTATGTTTAGGCACGATGTGATATGCATATTTTTGTATGGCCATCACTAACTTGAATTAGTAATATTACTTTTTTTAATAATTTATATTATTTATTATTATCTTTATTTATTTGTGTATTTTAGCATTGCCTTGTTTAATTTTTAATACATTTTTGTTTATTCGGTTTTATTTTTTTAATTTTTATAATTATTTTTATAATTATTTATTTAATAAATTTTTGGGGGGGTTATGTATATTATGTTGCTTGTAACACGTTGCTTTTGAAAAATGTGTTTTACTGTTGACTCAGTAACATATTTGGTCACAAAAAAAGACTATTTACCCTACAGAAATATAAATTTACAACAGCTTAGAGAATGTACCGTAGGTTGGCACTTTTACAGAGTAAAATATTCAGAAAGATGTTTAATCATTTGTTCATACAGTATACACAATTTGAATACATCTTGAATAATTTTTTTTCTGATCCTACATTTAAGTCGAAGGGCTGAAGACAGTTTGAGTGTAGAAGAGGTCATTGTTATAAAACATCAAACAGGATTTATATAACATGCAGATGTGATAACGAAACATGGTCAATTTTACCAGATTTGGGAATGAAGCAGTTGTTCCTAACGGCCACTGACCTCTTAAAAGAACAGTTTATAAAGGAAGTAGTTAAAACAGATTAACTGATGTTATGTTCTTTACTGTACATCTGAGCTTGATTTTTAGACAAAAGCTCAACTTCTTTACATGACATTTACATTTAAAACGAAGATTAACAAAGAAACAAAGATTGTACGTGCTGTGTATTCATTGCAAACAATCACAGTTACTGCATTGTTAGTGCAATTTAGCTTGTTATGGACTGAAACCACTTTTACAGTTTCCTTTGTAATAAATGTTATTTTTGGAAGTATACTGCTTCTTTATTGACCATTGCAGGTCACTGTGTAACAGGTTACACACACCTTCAGGTGAAATCAATAAGAGACCTAATTGCATCTTTAAAAGGGCCGTAGTTATGGTGAACCACATTTTCGTATGGTGATATCATGTCGAAGTGAGAACCAAACTCAGTTTCAGTCCATTGTTGGGCCTCTCCAGAGGGGAAAGGATCACATCCAAAAATGGATTCCCTTTTCAACACTGATCCCACTTCCTGCTGATACAGGTCAGCTGCAACAGAACCAATAGGCAGAAGGTCCTCGAAGTTTTGCATGACACCCTTCTTTAGGGTATTCCCTTTCCTGCAAGACATAACATGTTTTACATGTTCTGCCCATATACTGCAGTTTTAGTCAGTACTAAATTTGTAGTTTAATTCAAATTAATTAATCCAATACATATTTAAATCTTTAATAGAACAGCAAAAAAGATTTAAACTGCTTAATTAATAAGTCATGATAGTAATGAAATTAATCTGGGATCCTGTGTGCATTCCATGCCTCTGTGAATTTTGTGATGCCAATCCTAGCCATCTGGCATGCCAGGTTTGACACACAATACTTTGATGTGTTGTCCTCCATGTCCAGTTCCTCTTGGTCCACCAGCTCTATCAAAGCTGCCTTTAAAGTGTAGTTGACTTGGGCATTCACCTCTTACCACATTCTCTCGATCACATGGTTCTGTGCAGGTTTTTAAGGATAGTGTAAGTCTCCCTGCCCTCATTAGAAATACAATTGCAAGAAACTTGGATTCATTTTTAACAAAACATTTATTTCACCCTTGTAGAAGGAGTCTGAAGGTAAGGCTGCCTTTGAGTATTGTATCTGTGTTCTGCCAGCTTTTGTGGCCTGTGGCCGATTGTGGCCCGCCACGTCATTTTATGTGGCCCGCGAAAGCTTTAAAAATTCATAATTGTCCTAAAATAAAAGTCATAAACTACATCTCCCACAATGCATGTCGATTTTGTGATCCAAGACGGCATCCCGCCACTAGATTGCGATGTTTCCACACCCACTACAGAAGTTTTCCGACAAGTGGAGATGAGAAATGTTTACAAACAATCCCTAAATGTCCAAGATGAGAAAAATTTATGCAGAAGGAAGGCAATTTCATGAATGGTGGGAAAGTGAATACATGTTTGTGCTTCAAGGAGAAAAACCCGTAGGCAAGATCTGTGTCTTTTGTGTTATGAGGCAGCATCAGTGATCAAGGATCACAGTTAGTGAAGCCTCGTGCAGACAACACAGCCGTGCTGTTCACACTACACAGCTTTTTGTTTTGTTTTTTTAAAACCTGTCCTGCCCAGCAGCCTGGTGTAGAGTATAATGACCTGGACACCATATTGTGCCAGACAGATTTTACTTTAAAAAGAGAGTATTAAAATACTCCTTTGTCTGTTTTATTATTTATTTAATTATGTACTGATTTGTCACCGGGCCGGACAGGGGGGCAGACACGGGGATGGGGGGGCACAAACAGACAGCACAGAGAAAGGACAACACCTGCAAGAGAAGGGGGATGGAAGGTGGGGACAACAGGGAAAAGCTGTGGGAAACACCAATTGCAGAAAGCAACGAAACCTGCAATAGAACAGAGAGGGGGGCTTGGGGAGGAGAAAAACAACACCAACAAACAAAAACAAACAATAAAAAATAATAATAATAGTAAAAGACAACCAGCCGAACAGCAGCAATAAACAGCTGACATAGTAAGACAACTAAGAGAAAAATGAAAACAAGAAACAGTCACACACACTAAATAAGCAACACAGCACAGCCACGAGAGCTGGAATAATAATTAATTTAAATAAGTAACTGAAAGAAAAGCATCAGGAATAATTCTACCAGGGACAACCTAAGTTTGTTTGTGTCTGTGTCTGACACTGTGTGTGTCTGTGTGGGTGGGTGTGTGTGTCTGTGTGGGTGGGTGTGTGTGTGTGTGTGTGTACATGTGTGTGTGCGCATAAGCCGGTTAAAGAATGTAGTTGTTAGTGAGAGTGGGACGCCACGACAATGGAAGCAAACCAGGGACGCAAACTGGTCCCTCCAAGCCAAAGAGGAAATGGTTTAAGAAAAGATTGTGGTTTGGGTTTTGACACAGAATCTGACTGCTCGCAGAATTTGGAGTTACAGCGGCAAGCTACCACACAACCACCGAGCAATTTGGGCACAGTATCTTGACCAATGAAATTTTGACATTCACACTACCAATAACGGTTATTTTACCTGTACACTTCCTCATAAATGAATATGTTGTTCTTTATTGGAAGGAGTGACTGACAACCTTCTTGCTAAAACCATCGTTAGCCATTACTTGGGTCACTCCAAACATAACAAGCTTTTCATTCTGATCTACATGCAGCTTGTGCCCCATGTATTCTGCATTGTAGGGTATGGGGTTCAGATTTCGGCACCCTAAAATATAAGAACGACATTATAAAATCGGAATAATCCTTGATTTGTATGATAAGATTCACCTACACCTAAGTTACAGTGGGGTCCAAACATCTGAAGTCAGGGCCCTGTTTCAGGAAGCAGGCTTAACAGACACTGAGCTTATCCCTGAGCTCTGAGTTGACTAAACCTGAGAAAGTTCGGGTTTTCGGTTCCAGAACAGCAGCTGAGAATTAGTTCAATCAACTCTGAGTATGTTGAACCGGATGGAAGTGCGTGGGGATAAAAAAAAAGCCATCATCAATGGAGCTCTGATGCTACCCCCACGTTAGGCCCGACGAGAGAGAGAGAGAGAGAGAGAGAGATCCACTGCGCATGCGCAAAACAGAATTTACGGCACTGTGGGAAATGGGAAAACAAATACAGAAAAATAAAGAAAATGTAAATTCGACCTATTATTAGGGGTAAGAGTGGGCTGGGAACCAGTTTATTATTCTTCCATGAAGAAAACTGATACTACAGCCTAGACGGTAAGTGCTACAGATGCAAAACTCATAGGGTAGGTTCAGGTCACCGCAGCGACCGCAGGCGCAAAAATTTGCACACTTCCACCTCTAGGGGGCGCTATAACAAATTCTTTTGCGTTTGGGCTTGGAGCTCACGAAGGCTTTTATCAAAAACCTTATATCCAGCTGATGAAAGTTTGTAGAGGTAATTCTGATCCAAAGAAAAATGCTGCATTTATAAGCTAACAAATATTTGCGAAAAACGCTAAAAACACAAAGTGACGTAATATCTTGGGTTTGGAATGGCCGATTGGCACGGACCATCTCTGGACCGAGCCAATAAAGGCTTGTAGAGGGAATTAAGTTCCGCCAAAAAACGTCCTAATTATAAACTAATTATAAATTTTTTTTTAATTTAATTTTTGCCCAAACTCAAAAAACTGGATGTCATGTCATATCTTAGGTTTGCAATGGCCAATCTACACACCACGCCCTCCCGACGGGCTGTGTGAAATTTGGTGGCAGTTGGCCTCTAGGTGGAGCTACTAAGCGTATATGAAATAACACTCCCATAGACATACATTGTCGTTTATTCCCCACGGGCCCCCCGAACCAGGGCGGGGCGCACGGGTCGACTTGCGCGGCCTCCGCGGGACAAGGGGAGAGGCTGGCGCCGGGAGCTTACAACTGCTTGCAGTTCTAGATTTATTTTGGTTTCCTTGTTTATTATATTTTCCGTTTTGAGCGGAAAGTAAGGAAACAAATGTCAAGTTTCCTATTTGGTTCATACAGAAAAACAGAAAAATTAAATGTTTATTCGTTTTTTCGTTATTGGTTTGCCAGATTAAATGGAATAATTGAATGATGGGATGAAACACGGACCCCGCTGACTCCCTTTGTATATGCTGATTCTAAATGATAGAACATAATTGTAAACAATAAATGTTTTTCTATCATCAGATGATGTTAATCATCATATCGCACAGCCCATGTGACAGAGTATTAAATGGAAATGTGCTGGTGAACTTGCTGCAGTCTGTGCTGGTAGAAAGATGTGTTCTGTTGTTAATGATGAACTGATGTTGGAGTTGTGCTGAGTCCACCTTGAATCACTGAATTGTTGTTTCATGACATGTTTTTCTTTTGTGTCTGCTGTCTTTATCTCTATTTCATCTTCTATTATCTCTCCAGACTCTGTCAGGCTGCTGGACGGGACTAGTCTGTGCTCAGGCAGACTGGAGGTGAAGTCTAACCAGTCTAACCAGAGGTGGTCCTCAGTGTGTGAAGCTGACTTTGACCAGCAGGATGCAGAGGTGGTCTGTAGGGAGCTCGGCTGTGGGGCTCCTTCAGTCCTCCAGGGGGCGCTCTATGGAGAAGTGGAGGCTCCGATGTGGACCAAAGAGTTCCAGTGTGGAGGCCATGAGTCTGCTCTCCTGGACTGTAGAAGCTCAGGCTCAGCTAGAAACACCTGCTCACCTGGAAAAGCTGTTGGACTCACCTGCTCAGGTAGAAGAGGAGCTGCAGCTTTGATTTGGTTCATTTCTGTTCTGATGAAACTTGTTTTACTGATGACTCTCTGGTTTCTGTTCAGAGCCTGATGATGTCAGGTTGGTGGGAGGAGCCAGTCGCTGTGCAGGGACACTGGAGCTGAAACATCAGGGAGATTGTAGAAAAGTGAGTTCCTTTCTCTGGACCCTGAAGGCAGCAGATGTTGTCTGTAGAGATCTGGACTGTGGCTCTGCTGTTTCTGTAGGACGGAGAGAGGAGTCCTCAGACAGACCAGTGTGGTGGATCAGGTCTGACTGTGTTCAGTCTGGATCTGCTCTGAGGGAGTGTGTAACATCAGATTACTCTTCCACCATCCTGGATCTCACCTGCTCAGGTAAGCCCATCAGTGACATCATCTATGACATCATGTATGACAGTAATGTCTCCAGTGTGTCCTCTCCTCTGTCTCAGTGTCTCAGTGGTTTCCATTGGACTGAACTGTAAAGTTCTCCAGGACAGTGACGTCCTAAAGTGTAGAGAGGTGGGCTTGTTTCTGGAAGCTTCACCTGACAGGACACACCTGGAGGAACCTGTCTGTCTGTCTCTGTGTTTGGGGACGTCCCACCAGGTGGATCCAGTCCCTCCTTTTACAGTCTGTCATCGCTCTGCTCCATGTTTGTTACCCGTGTCAGACCTGTGACATCACTTCCTTCTTCAGGGGCCATTTTGTTGATGTGACCTTTCATCATCTGTGTGTTTACAGACCTGCTGCTTCAGCCCAACATCTCTGCGTCCTCCTCCGTGGACGGGGTCTCCGAGGCCCAGCAGCAGGGCTTTCAGGTGTCCAGGGGCTCCACCTTAAACATCAGCTGCTCCATCCAGCCACAGTACCCAGGAGGCTCCTTCCAGCTCGCCTTCACCTCCTCCATCATATCAACCAACTACACCCAGCCAGCTGTCAATCACTCTGCCCACTTCCTGTTTCTTGCCGCAGAGCCCGCCCACCAAGGAAGCTACAGCTGTGTTTATCACGTCCATGTTTTTTCTCATGACTTCTCCTCTGAGAGCCGTCGGCTGTCTCTCACTGTCTCAGGTAAGCTGAAGCAGAGCAGCTGAAACGTCACACTGTTTCCATGCAGCTTTGGAAAAGATGATCAGTCCGAACTGATTGTCAACAATCAGCTGATAGTTTCCAAGCATGTGGTGTTTCTGAGGGAGGGCGCAGCAACTGCAAAGACCCCGTCACCCCAGGTCCGGCACTTTGTCCTGATGGTTTCTAGTGTTGTTGCGTCCGAGGACCTGAGGCATCGTGTAGAGGTGTGGCGGGACAGGAACAAAACAAACTCCACTGTCACAGTTTGTGTGGTGAGGCAGGTTGATGGACCCAAACGCAGGACACTGAGCAGAGTTGGTACGGTACAAAAAGGTTTATTTAACATAAGGCAAGCACACTTACAGGCGGAGTGGCTGATAAACAGAGTACAAAAAATAAGGTTATCCAAAAAGAAAATCCTAAATCCAAAGAAACAGGTTGACAAGACGAGCGCGACAAGCAAGGCAGGACAAAAACAGGACAACACACCACAATGACTGGACAAACACTAAACAGAAACACCAGGTATATATACACAGGGACGAGCAGGCCGGGAGCAACACAGGTGACAGACATGAGACTAACGAGACACAGGCAGGCAGGGAGAGAGCAGGGGAAAACAGAGACTGACATGCATTATTACTGGGGTAACAGACACAAGCAGACAGATCACAACAAAACTAAACAGACTGAGGATGGGACAAAACAGAACTCATAGCAGACATGGGTAAAACACAGAAGTACACAGACTAACTATATAAGAGATACTGGACAACAGATAGAACCAAACCCAAAACGCAACAACTCTAAGACGGATACTGAACAGATCAAAATAACAAACACGGAAGTACACGGACCAGGAGTAAATACTAAGACATTAACACCAGACTGGGAACTAAGACATGGAACCAAAACACAGACTAAATAGCAGATACCAAACTGATAAATGAATAAACACAGAACAGATGACGGGACTAACATGCAGATACAAAACCAAACCCTCAGAATCAAAACCCCAAAACACAGCACTCAGGACAGGATCATGAAATCCACAGAAAAGAAGCTTCAGGAGGATCACCAGAGGAGAGATCCCGCTTCAGATCAGACAGGCAGGAAACCGATGGACCAGTAGGACAACAACTATATTAACAAACACAATGAAGTGATCAAGAGCCAACTTTAATGTAAATATGAAGGGGAAGAAGTGAAGTTTAAGAGTCTCTGTCAGAACAATCTCAGAACCCATTCGCTGTCTGACGCCGATTTGAATGCAGATACATTTATAAAAAGTAAACCACCGTCAGACGATAGCTGATACCCAGAGTTCATTTGGGCCACTGCATTCCTCTTTTGCTCTCCGTAAGGACCGTTTACCGTCATGAAACCAATGCCCGCTCAAACCTGATTGGTCGCACTCTAAACAGAAACCAGAACTGTGCCGATACCAAAACCTGGTCCCCTGCCTCCAGACTCTGCGTTCAGATATCTGTTGATAGAGATTACTGACGGACAGAATCCCACAGCTCCATGTTGAAGTGGTTTTGGAGATTTCAGGTCTCTACAGTTTGTGTTTAATGGGAGCTGATGGACTCATGATGGTGTGTGATGTGATGACTGTCCATGTGTTTGATCAGATCCAACAGGTCTTCTCATCATATTGGTCGTCCGGCCGCTGACTCTGCTGCTGCTGTTGGTGTTGGTGAACGCTGCCCTTTATTTCTACTATAAGGTACTGACACGTGTCTGTTGTTCAGAGGACTGAGATGAAGCACTCAGTCTGTGTTTACTGAAGAAGAGTAACTCTCATGTCTCTGTCATGTCTCTCCAGGCCAGCAGGGGGCAGAAGCCGGGCAGGCAGGAGGACATTGAGCTGGATTATTATAACCTGGGTGTTTGTGCAGTTTAAGGTGGGCCGACTGAAGAGGAAGGAGCTCAGGGAGCAGAGTAGGACCTCCAAGGATCATGTCAGCTCAGTCCAGGATTTTACACTTTTATACTGATGTTCCCTTTAAACAATCCGGCTGGAATTATTAGATTACATTGGAAACATTTTATTACTCTCAACATGAAAAGAGCAAAACCAACAGCGTGTCAGTCTTTTCAGACTTCCTGTCTGTGGCTCTCAGCTCCAAGCCCATTGGTTCCTCCTGAAGACGTCAAGCTTTAAAAAAAGCTTCCTCACAAATATGGAGTTTCATATTAAAACTAAGTATCAGGGTCCAAACACCCGGCACAGTTCAGAACCAGAGCCACGCCGACCCAGGAGGCTGGTGTAGGCAGTGTGGATGAACCTTACCTGGCAGCAGGAGGGGGAAGAGGGGAAAATAATCTTTAAGATTCTCTACTCAAAGTGTCTTTATTAAAATATAAATCAGCAAAAAGGTTCAAGCAACATAGCGTGGAATGGAATCCCCTCTTTCTTTTTCTGTCTTTTCCACCCTCAAAATACCAAAAACTGAAACTTTGTTTTTTTAACAATTTCATATTTGTGGATACAGAATATTTTGTCATGAAGGAATTTTGCTTTTAGCCTCTTTTCTAATCACGTTGAATCCTTTAGTAATTAAGGAAGTTGCTTATTTCATATGAATTTCTCTTTGCTTTTTACTTCACATATTTTTTACGCATTTGCTGTGAAATATCCTCATAACTAACCCAATAATCTGAATAGATATATGAAGCTTGAATAAAAAAAATAAATGAATAAAAATGAGACTAGCCTATCTAGTGCCTACCCCGAGTTGAGTGATGTGTTCAGTTTCCTTGTCTGTTACCACTTCCTGTTTTGTTTCAGTTACTCATCTTGTGTCTCGTCTCAGGTCTTCGTCTGCCTTCCTTCCATGTGTGATTAACTGTCCCCACCCTAATGTGCTGCACCTGTGTCTCATTGTCTCCCCTCCCTTTGTATATATAAACCCACCTTCCCTTGAGGTTTCTTTCCAGCCTGATTCCTTGTGTGATTCCCGTCTAATCAGTGAGTTTGACCGTAGCACTGTTTTTTGACCCCGACTCTCACCTTGTGTTCTGGATACCTTTACCTGGACTTTTGTATCATCCTGCAATAAAGTTATTGCTCATCTTATCGGAGTTGTGCATTGTGAGTTCATTTCTTGGGAGAGCCTGATAGTACGGTCTGGCCAAACAAGAGACTTTGCCGACTCCGAACCTATGAGGAAAGCCCTGCGGATCCAGGGACAGCGGCTGTACCAGCAGGAGGAAGTTCTCTCAGCCATCCAGCAGGAGATGCGTGGTGTGTCTGAGCAGCAAACAGACCTTGGACCATCGTGTGCGAGCAGATTTCCCACCTGTCCAACCAGATACAGTTGCTGGCTCCCGCACCATTAGCAGAACCTATCACCCCGGCGTTCCCCACTGTTGCTGTAGAAAACCTGCCTCCAGCTCCGCCCGCGCTCCCTGTGGCTTCAACCCATCTGTCTCGCCCTGAACGCTTTTCTGGTGAGTCCGGTGACTGTCGAGCCTTCCTTACTCAGTGTAGCCTGCATTTTGAGCTGCTCCTACCCCACTCATGGAGCTAAGATCGCCTATGTGATTTCCCACTTATCAGGGCCGAGACGAGGCATGGCCCTCGAGGTAATGGGGTCAAGACTCTCCTGTCTGCCACTCCTTTTAGCTGTTTACCCGTACCTTCACCCAGATTGTCCAGCACATTTCTCCTGGCAGGGAAGCAGCCAGAGCATTGATGGGACTCCGTCAAGGACAGCAGGGGTTGTGGATTGTGCCGTATAATTCTGCACACTAGCCGCAGAGAGTGGCTGGAACCAGTCAGCTCTGTGTGAAGAACCTGTTGCTGAAGATGGAGAGAATAATTCGAAGGGCTTTTCGAATTAATCGCGTATTGCGAGATGGACAGGATCCTTTAGCGCAGCGCGATAATATACTTATTGAGAGATATCGTTTTTCTCGTGAGGGTGTCATATACATCATTAATTTGTTGGAACCACAACAAAAGTGTTGGTGTATTATGTAAAACTGCACAAAAGAGGAGAACACAATGGCATTACAATGTACTACACTAGGGAAAAAATGTGATCAATAACATATTGCAAAATATTTTTACATTAAGTTATGCAGTTTTCACCTTCACAAGTCAAAGCAATTCATCACTACTCAATATTTATCAGTTGAAATGACTGTACCAGCCATTTGGATTATAGACATACTTAATTCAATGCAGCAACAAATTATTTACAGTGCAGCAAGATAATTTAAAACTCATTTACCAGTAATGAAGATGTTGCGACTGGTCCCTGGCTTTTGGTCTAAGGAAGAGCTGCCGGGGTATAATGTGGGGGTGCAGAACCACCGCCTGTTTTTTTTCTGCTCTGCCTTTTTCTTGGTTGCTGTTACAAACAGACGAACACATAATTTAACATTTATTTTGGTAAAACAGACTAAACAGTTGAAGTAGAAAAGATTACCATTTTGAAGAATATTCTTGTATTTCACTTTTACTTGTTCCCATGTTCTAGTGGGTCCTGAGGTGGCTCTGACATTAAGCAATAATTAAATTATTAAAATATAAGAATATATACTGTAATAAGTGATAGAACCATAACATGGAGCACTTACGCATTTAATTTGTCTGCAACTTTTTGCCAGCCCTCTCTCCTGGCTTTTGCACACTGTAAGGTGTTCCCTGACGTTTTAAGTAAGTTTTCAAATTCTGTATATCCTTCTAGCAATAACTCTTGCTCTGCTGCAGAGGAAAAACTGAGCGCGCTCTTTGGCCATGGTGAACAGCCAATAGCAGCATTGCTGATCAATGTTTCTACTATCGATACATATCCCCTTTTAAACCAGCACATGAACGTGCAATTATCTCCGATAACTCAATCCAGCTGTACTAATCATAAAAGGCAGGTGTGTTCGAAGAACCCAATTAGCCAGATCATGATTAGGCCGATGATATTATCTTGGATGTCTCATTTGATCTCGGTTGTTTTAAGCAACGTACGAAGAATGGGCCCCTGATCTGTTACGTCTTATTTTGATATGGTCTGTGTTTAGTGTTTAGTAACCTGTATCCTGTCTGTTAGTTCAGAATCCCTCTGCCTGCCTGTCTCATTAGTCCTGATCCCTCTCATCTGTGTTTCTCCCGCCTGCTTGTTAGTCCCAGGTGTAACCGCTAAGCTTAAAACAGCCGAGGGTTATGCAGAGGGTTAAAGTGGGCTATAGTTGACGCGCTTACCGTGGTCGCTTTGGCTTGATTGAGCAATGATACAACAAAGCTTAAAGTTATCTTTTCTTCTCTGTTGTGAGAGATGTTTATTGGATTTACACAAGGATTTCCTTTTCCATAACAGAACAATATTCCATCTTCACCAACAGTCACTTAACATGCATTCAACCACAGCCTCCGTCGCCTGGCGTGGCGTTCAAAAACTAGTTTGCCCTTTTCCCTCTAGCAACACCTGTCCTTGATTACAGCTAGCCTAAGTAGATAAGCCCCAATCACTATGCCATAACCCTAGTGCCACCTAATGGCCAAACCTGGACATAAACATTGAAATGGCTCCTACACCAGGTGTTAAATGTTTACTGTTTCTGTTCAGTCTCTGTCCGGTCATTGTCGTGTCTGGAGTATCTTGCCTGTTTCTGTGCTGCTCGATCTGTTGGATCAACTGCCTGTAAGCCTTGTTCTTATAGAGATATCAGTTATTTCTCTAAATACGTGCAAAAGTCAAAGAATGAAGTTTTCTAACTTCTGGAACAGAACCTGGTTTCACAGCAGCAGATTCTGAGTGATGCTACAAACACTCTTCAACAACAAGATGTTCATCATACAGCTGCAACGATTTATCAATTAAATGAAAGAAAATACTAGCCCCAACAACACAAAACGCTCGTTGATTATTGACACCCTTCTTCATCCCTGTAACCCTAGAAAACCATATCTTTATATCTGATTTTAAACTGATTTATGTCTGGACGTTGCTTTAGTTAGGGCCTGAGCACGAAACGTGTGGGGTCCCTATTGAAACTAAAGGATTAAGGACTAAAGCAACCTCAATTTTGGGAGCCTAAACATACTCAAACTCACCAAACTATTTTATGGGTTTCACGCATGGACGTGGCAAGATGGCTCACTAGCGCCCCCTACAGAGTAGCCCCCGAACAAAGTTTCACCTACGTGTATGACATTTCTGTGGTATGTGTATCATGTCCAGACGTACAAAAAAGCCTCTTAGAGCGATGCCAGACACCCAACAGGAAGTTGGCCATTTTGGATTTAATGGTTATTTTTGGTGATTTACTTTGTACTTTAATGAACTCCTCCTAGGAGTTTAGTCCAACCAACTTCAGATATTTGCTGTGTACTCTAAACGCATTGATAAGTTATTCTGAGTTATTCAAACGGTTATTACCAGTCGACCAGTTTGCCTATGGCGTGCTGTCAAGTATTGATGATTTGCCATGAAACAGGAAGTTGTTATAACTTCAGTATACATGCTCACATCTGGACCAAATTTGATATGTATATTAAGGGACCCACCCTGAACACATCCATATGCCAGTATTTACTCAGTGTCATAGTGTCACCTGCTGGCAACCGGAAATGACACGTTTTATGTTGTAATGTACTACTCCTAGCAGGTTAGATGTATCAACTTCAAAACTGTCCCAGTTCAAAACCCTAAACACATTGATGAAGCCATGTTGTAAAACTTGTACACTTTGCAGTTAACGGTGTGGCGGTGGCGTAGTGGTAAATTTATACTCTTTGCCATGAAAGAGGAAGTTGTTTTAACTTCAGTGTACATGCTCACATCTGCACCAAACTTTACATGCTTCATTACAGTCCTGCCCCAAACACATCTACATGTTCAGTTATAGTCGTAGTGCGAAGTGCTATGTAGCGCCACATAGGGGACACAGGAAGTGATGATTAACACATTTATGCAGTGTCTGAAGCCCGTGGCAAATTCACTGGGCTTCCTCCCACCACCCAAAGACATGTGGACTAGGTTAATTGGTGTCTCCAAAATTGTCCTTTGGTGTGTGAGTGTTTGTCTGTCTGTGTGGCCCTGCGATAGACTAGCAACCTGTCCAGGGTGTACTCTGCCTTTCGCCCAATGTCAGCTGGACCCTGTACACAGGATAAGCAGTTGACGATGGATGGATGACTGTAAGAAGAATGAGTGAATGTGATCCCTATACCCAGCGCTGTGAATAATCCATATTGTTCTTTTTTGGAGAACAGATTTGTAGTTGTGTCCCCAAATCTCAGGACAGTAATTGAAATATATTAAAACTACTGAACAGTACAAGATGTGGAGTGATTTTTGATCCAGAACCTGTTTTGCTTTGTTTAATACTGCAGTTGATCTTGATAGTTTAGATTGTACATGATGTCATCTATAATTACCCCAAGAAATTTATTTTCATGCACTCTTTCAGTTACAACCCCATCCATTTGTATGTTCACCTGAATAGTCATATTGCAATTCCCAAATGACATTATTTGTTTTATTCAAATTTGATGATGAATATTTATTTCTATGAAACCATATTTTTAGTTTGTTCATTTCTTTAGTGACGTCCTCCACTAGTTGCTGTAGGTTTTCACCTGAACGGAATATATTTGTATCATCTGCAAACAACATTAGATACTGAACATATGTCATTAATATACAAGATAAACAGTTTGGGGCCCAACCCTGACCCCTGGGGGCCACCAAAAGCAATGTCCAAACATACTGACCTGGAGCTTCCCAACTTTACAAACTGCTGTCTCGGACTGCTTGCCTGCCTGCAACAAGGCTTACATGAGGTGGAGGCAGATATTTTCCAAGCAGATTACAAAAAGAGACAAGACAAAAAATAATTTACAGACAGACTCAGATAACTAAATGACTACAGACCCATCACCCTGACCTCTGTAGTCGTAAAGTCTTTTGACCGCCTTGTGTTGATCCACCTCAAATCCGTCACAGACCCACTCCTGGACCCCCCCCCTGCAGTTTGCCTAAAGAGCCAACAGGTCTGTGGACGACACAGTAAACATGGCCCTTCACTACCAGCACCAGTTCCTGTTGCAACAAACACACATACTTATCTCATACGTCTCTTTTTTGGCTCTTTGCACCACAAAAGCAGAAGTTAAACTGTCACCATCATTCTTACATATTATTTTCTGTTCTGTCATGATTACTATCTTAACCTCAGATCATCCAGTTCATTTAATATATTAAAGTTTTCAAAGTTGGCCTGGTGCTTGTGTGGCAGAAATGAGGGGCAGTAATGCTGCATGTTTTTGTTCAACACATCACATATTCTGTCCACCACCTGAGGGGAAAAGCAGCAGCTGTGTAAAAATGAGTAGATCATCTGAGATGAGAAGGAGCCAACAGCCTGCTCTCTGTTTTTAATGGATCTAGCACATAATTGGAATGAAGTACACTGAACAAAATTATAAACACAACCCTTTTGTTTTTGCCCCCACTCACCATGATATGAGAGGGGCCAGACTGAGAGCGATTCTCAGAGCCCACATGAATCTGCCACACAGGACCTCACAAACACCAGGTTATGAACACGGCCGACAGAAACCCTGATCCTGACAGAGACTCAGTCTGACGAGGAGTCTTCACTGTGGAACTAAAGACAACTACATGAGCTGTGTTCCAGTAAAGCTCCACCTCTTCCTGTCCACAGATCTACACTGAGGACAGCACACGATGATCAGAGCAGAGAGCAGGCGGACGGCCAGAGAGACGGTCTACCTGGACATGGATCACCTGGTGCTGCTGCTGCTGCTGTGGAGCTCAGGTAGGACTCTGCTTTAAACATCATGTGTTAGAATTCAGATCTCTTTATTGGACCTGGGAGAAAATCAGAACAATATGAAAGGCTGCTGCTGTTGAACAGCTGGTGTCTCGGTCTAACAAAGATTTAGAGCAACGTCCCTAAACATCAGGAGAGATATTTACTGCACATGTCGCATTTCATTTCTGCTCTTCAGCTTCATATATTTCACACACTTCATCTCTTCGTCTGCTTCTTCACAGTAAACCTCCTAAACTTCTCTTTATGATCCACAACATGCAACAATCTGCTGACTCCTGAAATAAGATCCACTCTTTCCAGACTCGTACCTGAACACATGTTGACCAGATTATTATTCATCCATGGTTCTGACGAAATGGCTCAACTGTTCCTGTTACACTGCAACCAGCTGAAGGAGAAGGAAATAATTTGACATTCACACCCAAGTAGCTTCTGTCCCTCTGTGTGTGACGGAGTTGCGGTTTGCATGTAGTTCACTACTGTAAACGGCTTATCACTCACACCAACATCTCTCACACACACATCCTCAGGGCTGTCATTTTAAACTCATTTATGAATACAGCGAGGTCAAATTAAAGATACTGATTTATTCTTTTTATAATAAGGATAAAATCGCATTCAAAGTCCAACAACATTTAAGAAAAGAAGAAATAAACAAAACGAATAAATGAGGGGATATTCTTAGTAAAAACTCTACATTTTTGAAAGTTAAAGTTGCAAAAATTACAGGAACAGAAACTCAGATATTCTTTGAGATTAAAATGGAAACGTGCAAGATAAAACTCACAAGTTTACAAGAAAGAAACAAGGATCTGCTCTGAGATTATTAAGTCATACATTTGTGAGAAATATGTCTGTTAGTTGGAGGATGCATTGCACACAGACGCTGAAACTTTGTTTGTTAAATCCGTAAATCCAGCAGATCCTTCGTAACAATTAAAATCTGCAAGCGCCACATACAGGCTTACCTGCAGCTGCACTGCAGGCAAGTAGTTAAATACTTGTTGGTCTCTAAATCGTTCGGCATGTAGATAGAACACGTCTCTTTGTCCGGTTTCTTAGCCTGCTTGCTTTTCCTGGTTGTAAATATAACTAACTAGCTGATTCCATTTCCACCCAGTGTAGCAGCGATCCACAGGAGGGGAAGGGGAGCTAACAGCTAGCACCTCCAGGCACTGTGAATGATCCGTGACTTTTTCTTTCCCCTGACTGCCGGGGCAGCCTCTCTGTGTTCAACCTCCTGATTTATACATTGTAGTAATAATAATCTTTATTTATAGTGCACTTTACCGTGTTACAAAAAGCTTTCACAAGTGCAAAGATACACATAAAACAGATAACCAGATACATGTTGGAAGCAAATTTTCTTCACCGATGCAACGGCAGTGAAGCGGTAACGTTATCAGAGAAGACTGAAGTTGAGGAGCGATGCCAACAGCGTGGCTGAAACGGTGAGTTGTGTGAATCCTAAATTTTTAAATTTTGGCAGGTTTGAATCCAGCCTTGGGCCATTCTGTGTGGAGTTTGCATGTTCTTTCTTAGATTATGAGTGTTTCAGTGTATAATGTGATATTTTTAAATGTGTACTGAGTTTTTGTAGATGTGAAATTCCTTTTACAAAGGGAGCACTCATGGCCTTGGCCAAGCAAGAGGCAAATAAGTAACAAGAGCAGCACAGTCATAGGTCATAGCTACTCTGCTGATGACAACTTAAATACTGTTTTGCTTCATTTTCACTAATGAGCCTAAGGCACACCTGTGCAATCCCCATGCTGTCTGATCAGCGTCTTGATATGCCACACCTGTGCGGTGGATGGATTATCTCGGCAAAGGAGAAGTGCTCACTAACAGATTCTGACAGATATGTGAACAATATTTGAGAGAAACAGGCCTTTTGTGTGCATAGAGAAAGTCTTAGATCTTTGAGTTCAGCTCATGATGAATGGGGACAAAAACAAAAACGGTTGCCTTTATAAAATTAGAAATTAGAAAACACATAATACATGCAAATTATTATAATTAACACATCTCAGACTGAACATTAGCAGAGACAGAGCATTGTAAGCTTTGTACAGGTCGAACGTATGGCAGGGCTGGTGGTTTTTTCGTTTAGGCTGTTGTTATAATTACATTTTCTTTTTTACAGAAAGGAAGGACCTGAGTCTGTGGAGGCCAGCCATTATTAAACATCTGTACTGGATTGCAGCTTCCACTCTAATGGAGATGTGATGGTGAACCACGTTCAGAACATCCAAGAACACGGCACGGTGGAACCAGGTACAACTTACCGTGTACAGTTTGTGATCATAAGTGGTGCTGTCTTTAGTGGTGCTGGTCGGTGCCTGATTTATTTTGATTTCAGTGCCTCCAGAAAAAAATTGTTTTGGTGGGAAATTTCCCAGATTGTGCCAAAAGTGGCTTACACTGTTATTCTGTAAAAGAGATGCAACACACCAACATTTGTATTAAAGTAAAGGACAAGGAATTCTCTAGAGTAAAGATTACGTTTTGAAAATGTTAAATTCTTCAGCTCTATTAAGTATGAATTGTCTTTATATGTTTCAGTCAAACAGCCATTTTGGAGACAAAGAGTAAAAACACATGATCACGACATTATACAAATTACAAAAATCATTTTAACCCTCATGAAGATATCATTTATTGCAGGGCTGTTTTACTGGATTGCATTAGTTTTAGCTCAGTGAACCTAATAAACAGAAATTAAGTTGTTACTGTATTTGAATATTCTGTGCAGTCAAAAGCTAATGGCACTTAGGCATTTTCAGTCACAGGGTGGCAGCATTGCCTCAACACAGTAAGAACAATCTCTACTTCTGGTATTTTAACCATGGTGGTAGCTGAGGGGTTGCTGTGGTGTGTTACATTATATAAACATGTTTTTCCTTTCCCCAGCATCAGCCCTCATGGAGTTCACTGCACCTGCTCCGCTTTGCAGATCAGCCAGAAGATCATGGATGGATGAGGCAGTCTGCCTTCATCGGTTAACGGTTAAACACAGGACATAAATGTGAAACCAGCACAGAAGTCTTGATTTGTGTTTTTCAGGTTAAGATCTTTATAAATCAAGGCAAAGCCCGATCAGTCCAACAATTCATATTATCCTCGGCCAAAGACATACTCAGTCACATTCGTCTATTTGTGAGATATCTCAAAAATTTAGATGAAATCTGGGAAATATGTCTCAGCCAACACTTGAGGTATAGCTTTTTTTTTTTGTTCTCAACATTGCAAGATAGTATTTTGAAAATTGTCACTGTGGAAAAAAATGGTCTGTTTGTATTTTCAAGTGGAGCCAGTAGATGTTAATTAAAAAATCTTGATTGTACAGCTTTGGTTTGCTCTCGAGTGTTTTCTGGGCCAAATGGGCCAATTAGTATTTTTTTCATTTTGACCATTCACATTTGGTACATCCAGATACATATTTTAAAAAGTTTTAATCTTGGCGTTTTGGTGTTTTACATTTGTAATTAATGTGTCTAATTGTCTTAGATGGTGGTTCATACATTTTAGAATACATTAATAGTGTAAGACATGTTTAACAGTTAATGCAGTCTGCATCTGTTCAACATATACATTATAGCAACTACATAAAATGTAATTCATTTTAGTGATTGTCAACCAAATGAGGCCGTATAAACGTGTAAATACGCCATTCTTCTGGACCCAAAACATGAGGGTAATGACTTCCTAATATGCCTTCCTAGGTCCAGCAAACAAGCTGTATAGCGGTACGGCCTGGGGATTAGGACATAATATCTAGAGCTAAACCTGATGAAATCATTATCAACAGTGGTGATGTAAATATGAACATATGTTCTGTTTCTTGTAATACAGAAATAACTTGTGCAGCTCTCACTGCATGAATCCACATACTGATTTCCATCCTGATGAAGTGAAGCAGAGCTTTTCCTTTAACTCTATATGAACCAGTCTGCTGGCTGCTGTTCTGTGTATTCACATGTTCATCTCACCTACAGTAAACTGGTAAAATGACTCCAGAGGGAGTTCACTGAGATGTTTCTGAGCTGATGGAAAGTTCTTTACAAAAGTGTTTTTTTTCTGTCCACGGCTGTGCTGCAATCACAGGACTCCAGGCTGACGGACAACACACCTCAACAGGTAAAGAGAGAAAG